ACCTGTTCTACTTGAATAGTTTTCAATTACAAGGAAAGCTATAGAAAGGAATAAGTAGAATCAATGTTGATAACTGCTTATAACTGCTCATTTCTCTAGAATTTGCCTTAGCTTTTCTCTCAGGTTTCTATAATCATTCCTTTATGCTTCTGGTTTTTTTCACACAACTGATCATCATGAAGGAAAAATAAATTAGTTATTTCGAAGTTTTGTTAATTCGAAGCTTATTGTGTCAAAATGATTTTTTTAAAACATTGACTGGAATAAAATGGTGTCTGCTAAAGGGTGGTGAGGTCCAGTCCCAAAGAATGATAGAATAGTCTTGTGGGGACCTTGCCTGTTGCACCTGTGACTTGGAGCTGTGACTTGGGACTGTTTCAATTCTGTTTTACATGTAGAACCCTTTAAAGCAAGGTTGGTGTTGAGCATAAAACTGCATCCTGTTACTTTGGGAAGGAGAGGCAAGAAGCCTTCCAGGGAAAGAGTGGCACTCAGCTACTCCAAAAAGCAGTGTCAGTCAAAGCTGAATGTTTATTTGGTGTCTTCCTTCCGTTTCTGTGGGTCTGGTTTCTTTTGTTGGGACTTAGTACTCTTCAAAATATAGAATCAACTCTCTGGCTAATTGAACAATACAATAACTTCTGTTTTATGAGAAGATTGTTTTCCCTGGAAGGTCCCACAGCACCATCTAGTGCCACACACGGCTTTGTGGGAGCACAGGTGCTGAGGCTGGGAATGGCTTCTTAGTAATTTAAATTAAGATTTGCCTGTAACTTGGCATAGATCCAAATACAGGGGAAATTTAGATTCTTTTTAACTTTCTTCTTCACGAAAACAGACTTAAGAATTTGGTCCAAAATTACCTTTTCTTGTGAAATATATTTTTTACTGCTACTGCATTTTTATTTTCTATGTACAAAACAAAGGAGAAATTATGGCACATCCTTAACACTGCACTAATATACCTTGGACTTAAAGTACACCTCAACGCATGTAATTAGGTTTATTATATCCTTATTATATCTTAAACACTTTTTCAAGGTAGGGCTGTGCTTACAACTACAGACACCCTAATCCTACAAGCTCAGTGCCTTTCTTCCTCAGTGCCACTGAGGTCATGCTCACATGGTGTGGAATCTGCTTGCAGTGGTAGAAATTACAGGATTGTTTCCAAGTGATTTTTGCAGAGACAAGGGGATTGCTCTGAAAAGAGTAAGGGTGTGGATGATTGAAAAGTTCCTTTATCGCTTTTAGGTCTCCTCTAACCAAGGTCCACTTAATGCCAGTGTATCAACTATCCTGACATACAGAACCTTAGTGATCTTTTTCTCTGCTGACACTCCATGAGAAATTGATTTGAATAGGAACAGACTGGTTTAATCAGCTGTAATTAGGAAAAATATCTATGTAGGATGAAGTTTTAAAAGGCTTCATTGAGGTGGAAGGTAAAGGAGAGGATGAAAGTCTTGAGGCCAGGAGTAATGGTCAGCAAAAGCAACTGAAGAGGAAAATGTAGCTCCAGCAGGCTTGACAGATCCTTGAACAGCAACAAGACAGCTGAGTTAAATGCCTTGCACAAGAGAGAGGCAAGAAAAAGTTGCAGGCAGGTGTTACAAGTTTGGTGGATGGGGCTTGATCGTGTTCTAGAAACATGAGCAAGGACCCAGTGTAATCTCCTCGGTCATACCCGGAGCTGTGGACCTGCTGCAGAGAGGTTGCAGCACTTGGAAGTGTGGCCAGAAGCAGCACCTGGGATCCCCCCTGTTGTAGAGGCTATTCCACACCCTGGCTGCCAGCTCCCACATAACTGATGGATCCAGGTTGTTTGATCATTGTTTGGTCATTTCCAGCTCTGATTGAGGCTTGTGTTGTATTTTGTGCATCGTTCCAGATATTTCTCCTGTATCACCTGCAAAGCACCAGGAAGTTTTCATAGTTGCTTTAGAACTTCAGGGTCCTTACTGCCGTGTTCTGAACTATTCTGCTGCTGAGTAAGAAACAGATTTCTGATGTGTTTAAGATGCCCTCTGCTGGGAAAGCCAGGCAAACTGGCCTTATCTCTAGTTCTACCTTTCTAAAATATTCTTTTCTTATCCTTGGCTTAACGCTCAATCTGATACCAGAATCTCACCCCTCCACCTTGCTGAAAAAAATGCTCTCTCTGTTTGGTTTTATTCTTTACATTTCATCTGTGACAAGTGTAGTGGTGTTACTGCTGGTAGCTCAGATCACAGTATTTCTTGTTTCTCTGATCTGTTTGGTTGAAAGAATTGAACTCTGGCTGCTCGCATTCCTTTTGATTCCATTTTTTCACCCTTGTATAAAATGTAGGCAAGAGGAATATCTGCAAATAGTAATTATTAATAAATACTGGAAATGCTTTTGATTTCTATTGTTATCTGATGCTGGTAAGCTTTTTTAATATCATCTCGTAATTCTTTTTTTTTTTCAAATTAATGTCTATTCCCACAATTGGAGGCACTAGATTAATACAACAGAGCAAAGGTGGAACAATGTCTGGAACAACTCACAAAGCCCTCTGCATAATCTCGTAGTTGATATGAAATCTGATTTATTTTGCCCCCTCTGATAAAACAAAAGCCATTTTGACATAGTGCTTCTAAATTCACAGTTTTGCTATTAAAATCTTGGCCTAATTGGATGAGTTACAGCTATTGTTGTAGTGGTTATTTGTAATTATAGTTGAATTAGGGTTACATAGAATTCTATTTCCGATATTTTTTTTTGTAGTTTGTTATGTTGGTGGGGTGCAATATTTATCATTTTACCAAAAATATGTGAACTTAACTTCACACTCTGTTCAATATATTTTCAAATTTTCCTATTATTTATTGTGGGGAGAATGGGTGTATTAAGAATCCTAAAAAGTATCAGTTCATAAGCCTTTGTTCTCTCCAGCTTTCAGAACAGTCATTTAATACAGAACAAGATGTAAAGAACTAAATTAAATCTTTTCTTTTGAATAATTGGAGTTGTATAAGCCTTCTCAGATCCAAAAATGTCATTAGAGTAGCTGACAGAGGAGGGATGTATAGTAGGAGTGTTACACTTGAAATTATTTAGAAAATAATTGAACTGGAAAACAAAAGGCAAGTAATTGCCCAACACCAGGAGCTTCTGTGATGTCCATGTGGGAGCAACACAGGGACACAAGTTGCATCTTGGGGAAATGACTGAAATTATAAGAATATGAGAAAGCTGTAATTTAACCTCTGAGATTGCAAGAGATAAAACCAAACATATATGTAATTTACATGGGGACAAAGTTAGAAATGGGGAAAACACGTTGTATTGTGGAAAGCAATTCCAACATCTCAATCAACAGAAATTTGTCATCTCTGCTGCCATCTTTAAGTAAGTCAAACGAACAGCATAACTTGTATACCTGTGCTTACAACAATATTAAAATATGTTTAAAGAACCCATAAATGTAGTCTCTCCAGGAGGCTCCTGCAGCTGCTGGACCCAAATATTAAGGCACTGAAATGTTTTTGGAATAATTTCAGTTACAAATTTGAAATCTTTATGCTCAAATGATTTAGTACTTCACAGTTGCCTCTGCACCTGTTACCAGGCCCTTTTCTGTTATATCCCTTCTGCATTCAGTGCCCCTTCAGTTCTTGTGCTTTCACAAGGACTTGCCTGGTCCCAACCTGACTTTTCTGGATTTTGCCCTTCTGGTTTTGGATCCAAGTATGTGTTTTTAGCTTAGGGGGTTTTATCTCCATCAATGGTGTTCTATCAAGAGGTTCTGCACAGTTCTAAAGCTACGTGGGGACAGGTGGAAAAAGGGAGAAGGCAGCTAATTTCTGAGGATTTTGGTATGTGAAAAATGTGTTTTAACAGAAGAAATCATTCTATATATGATATCTAAAGTTAAGATTACTGCAAAGCAGTCTGACGTGGGAGTACACTTTAAATCAGTTTATTCAAGGTGATGAATAATGTGGTGTCACAGGTAATAATCAGTGTGTTTGCTCAGGGCTGATGCTGTGAAGTGGAACTGGGACCAGTCTGGAGGGTGAGGGGAGTGGGAGTCTTGTGCTCCTTGATTTGCATAGACTGAGAGTTGGCCCTGAGTTCTGCTGTGGTCTTTACAATCTCTGTCATGTTAGTGAAAACAGGGAACAATCAACTTTTCCATCTTTAGGTGTCTCCACTTTCTTTCTTTTGCCCTTTTTTTTTTTTTTCTGAGAACATCTGTATTCTGTCAGAACTTTGGCACTAGATGTCCTGTTGCTCACAAACATGCCTAATTCAGACCTAGAAGCACTTTTCTAGAGGCAAGGTTCTCTTTTTAAGATGTAAAACCTTATAAAGTTGTCTGCAAACTTGTTAAAAATAAAGGGAAAAAAAATTGAAAACACACTTCCAAGCACAAAATCAAGGAAAAGACATAAGAAATAGAAATAATACATATTTTGATATGAAGTTTCTTTCTCATTGTAATCACAAAAACTGCAGTTTTGTGTTTGGAATGTGTGTTTGTTGGGTGGTGAGGTGGGGTGTGCAGGCTGGGTTTTTTTGATATTAATAACTTCATATTCTAACCAACAGAGCTGATCTATTTTTTGGTTGATCTTTCTTTTCCAAAAACTGCCAGCAATTCTTGAAATAAAGTCATTTGAGAAATACTGCCATACACAGAATAAGACTGAGTTTCATTTCTCATTTATGCTTGTCTTCTGATGAAATTATCCAGTGTTCATAAGACTTTTTTCTCACACCTTACCCTATCAGTGGCATGGAAATGCTGCCCAGTTAGTTTTTACATAACCCAGCTTACACTTCTGCTTCTTTTGTGTCCTGCTCTGATGAAGCATTCAGGAACCTCTGTAGCACTAACACAAGTGGGTAATTGATTTCAGAATATACACATTTGTTTAGAATCTTGGGTACAAAACCCTGTTTTCCCATTCTAGCCCTGATTCTATGGACAAATCAGATGTGACTTTGTTTAAGGTTTTTCTCACTGGCAGGTGCCACATGCGTGTTGTACTGATGACCTGTAAGAATGATGAAAAATTGCACGGGAAATTTGTGGGTAAAGGAAACGAAGGAAAGTTCACATGTATTTCATGCCTCATTACAATAATCCCTACTTGTCTTCTGCCATGTGTCCCTCTGGATCTGTGCCCACCTCTCTCTTCCTATTTGCATAATTTCATTCTTAATGATTTGCCACCATAGTTGCAAATTCATTAGGTGACTTCTCTTCCCTGAGTTGGCAGCCAATTCTATGTATTGATTTTATATATTCTTTTGGAGGATAAACACCTCTTAATACCTGCTCTACAGCAATGCTGTACTGGATGAAGCCTCTAGAAAACCTCTTAGCAACTTTATCTAATCAAAGCAAATAACAATTAAATGGACCTCCAAGTACATCCTTGCTGTTTATATGTACATTTATGTACATGCTGGCCTACACAAACCTGTATTTAAACTCTCTTAAATAAAATCAGTTTCATGATCTTTACTGTAGGGAGATGTTTCCAAGTGTCTGATTCTTCAGACTCCTATGTTCTATCAATGTCTCATGTTAGGCTGAGATTTTTTTTTCTGCCCTTTCCACTAAAATCATTGAAATATATTCAGTCAGTCTTTCACATCAGAGGTGTAAATGGATTTCTTGAAAGTTTTTCTGCAGATAGCAAACAGCAGTCACTTTACAACTTTGACTCCATTGTGGGCAGCAGTCGGGAAGCCTAACACTCCACCCGAACTTTGAAGATGCTAAAACTGTGTAATGACCTTGCATTCTCAAGGGCAGATGCTCAGCTTTTGCTGGAAGTGCTAATCTACAATCTGTTTATCTCCATACACTATGTATTTGACAGCACTTGGCTGGAAAGCAAGGCAGGGGAAAGCATTGTCAAATTTAGTTCCATTTTCCTCTTTGATGGTCTCAGTGGCCAATGGACTTAGAAATGGTCATCTTTATTTTAATTTTTAGCTTCCTTTGTGCTCCTCAGTCAGCTGCATTCTTAGAAAGCAGCTACAGTGCCAGTGTCAAAATTTTCTCATCTTCGTGAAGACTCTGCTGGAGCATGACCTGGGCTCTGGAGTAACTGTTTTCTTCCACATTTTCTTTATTCTTACTGAATCAGACTTTGGGCTTTACCTTCAAAAATGTAAATAATATCCTGTATTTTCTGTCAGTAGGCTTTAGGCTTGAAGTGCTCTATTTATTATTCTTTAGTGAGTATGAATTGAGATGCATCACATAATGCTCACAAGCACATTGAGGAGCATGTTCCTAATGAAGAGGTAATGTGTCAAAGCAAGGTGCTGTGTGCAGGGAAAGGTAATGCCTTTTCTTAGACAGATACACTGTGGTCAGGTAAGCCCTTTATATCTGGGGCAAGAACCTGAAGAGAAGGGCTTCAGCACATAAAAGCACATCAGTGTTTTCAGGTTAACATATATAACATATAAATAATATATATAACATATATCTAACGTGTGTGTGTGTGTGTATGTATATAACATATATATAATATATGGCTTTACATCCCCGAAGTTTGTTCTTTAGCAGTTCCAGCAGTTGGTTGGGTAACAGAGGTTCCCTCCCTGAATAAATCCTGCTTTGCTTGCACCTGTAAACTATCACAGCCACCACTGCACTACTGACTGAAGAAAAAAAAAACCTTTGGTTTTAATGTAATCCCTGTGGTTTTTCAAACTGGCACTCCTCAAAATAAGACACTAACATCAAATTACTCTGATTCAGCAAGAGCATCTATTGTTTAATATGAACTTGTCTGTTCTGTCAGGTAATTGTTTAGCTTCCCAGGGAATTGTGTGTGTGCTGCAAATGGAAAAGTTCAACCTTGTAAATCCTTTCTGTGGTGAGGAAACAGGAAACCCCTTTCTGATTATTAGGATCACCAGGTTTAATAGCAAAATTTAGTAACAAATTGCTAAAATTGACCTTTTGAGTGCTAGATTTGCAGCGTGCTCAGTCAGGAATCTCTTTATGATTCTCTTGCTCTCCACTTACAGAATTACAAGAAGTGTTACTGTCACAGAGGTGCAGTTTCCTTTTGTGGCACATGCTTTGAATTAGCAGTGGCTGTTGCCCACTGTGTTAATATCAACAAGCTTCTAAAGTGATTAAATAGCAAGTCACAGCTCCCATCCCAAGGAGGAAGGACAACATCTTGATTTATCAACAAGATAAAGAGAAAGGTTGCTTTGCTTTTGTTTTTTTTATTTTTTTTTCTTTTCTTTTTTTGGTAACATATAAAACCACGCTGAGGCATGAAGCACATAAGACATAGCTAATGGTGCTAAGTCAATGAGTTTGTTCAGGTTTGGAGGAGAGCTCACTGTGCTCTCAAGCTGGCAGTGTGCTCTCTTCTGCCTACACTCAGTGCTCAGCTGGAGTACAGGATGCTTTTGGAGGAACACCTCCTGCTCCATCCGTGCTCCTCCTCACTTGTGCAGGAGCCTGAAGGTGGAACCCTGCTGCACAGTGGTGTTCTGCCATCCCAAAATTCGAGGAGGCTCAGGGAACACTCAGACACTTGGTACTGTCCAGTAGTATTTGAGGTGTGCAGTGTACTGTCAAGGGGGAAAGGGGAAGAAGGGCAAAGTCTGGCTCAGGTTCTCTGAGCAGTCCCTAAAAGCTGGGGTTTGGTCTCTCTGATGCAGTGACTGTGCTGTCCCTACATTACACAGCTCTTGCAGTCGGTTCTTCCTCACTGATTCTGCTGTATGCAAGTGTCAGTTCAGCCCTTGCTGCGTCCTCTCTTCCTCAACTTTTGTTTCTTCCTCTCCAGCTGCTCTGCTTGAACACCTATATTTCTTCATATCTGTTATCTGCATTTTGGTCTAGACCTCCTGTAAATAGTGAGTGACTCCCTGAAGCAATTCTTGCCGTTTCTACTTCTCTTTTCAGTCTTTTATGATCTATCTCAATTGTGACATTTGCAAAAAGATAAATTATTATGGATAGCTGGGCTGTGGGGCAGTCAGATATGGCATGTATTATTTATTTTGAAATATGTTTTTAAATTCTGCAGAGCCTTCAAGTTGCACAGCTTAACTGTTGCCTCCTTGATCCTTCCTGCCTGCTATAATTTGTGGCATTTATTTGTTGCATTTTGTTTTAGGAACAAAATAGGAACTCTCTGTGGTTGATAGTCCATCTGGATCTGTGATTTTTTTGTGGACCCAGAAATACAAAACTAGTTGTTTAAGGCTTTTCTTTAGATTTTCTTCCAAGATATTGAAGTGAAGCCATGTTACTCAAGGTTAAGTGTAAAGTAGGGTACAACTGGGGTTTTTTGTTCAATTGTTTTTCACTTGTAGCTAAATAAAACATAAAAAAGCACCCTTTTAGATAAATGTGAGTATGTTTTGGACCTTTGTATTTTAAAAATAAAGTTTGTGAATAGCTGAAAAGCTGGCTATTCTTGTGACCTATCTGGATGAAGAATAGTCCTGACCTAGAGAAGTTCTGAGCCAGCTCTATGAATTAGCATGCATTAAATGATGGAATCATTTTATTGAGCAATAATAAAATATTGAAGTCAGATGGAAGGGTGATGGGGAATTGCCATTTGCAGCTATGAAAGTGATGCATGTCATGTTAACTCCCAACCCAAACAACTCATTCTAAGATTTGCTTTCATGAAACTTAAAATCCTCTGTTTTGTCCAATCATCAGCTTTAAACCTGTTCCTTGTCAGTGAAGACAACAAATCTTTTTGCTTGCATCTGCCTGGGGGATGTGGAAAGCCGAGGTGGTCCTGTGTGATTAGATTAGATGAAAGACTTGCCTTCTACCAGTGAGACATGAAGTCTAATCAAGTGAAATGAGTTTTGAGATCTCAGCTCATTTCCTTGGGGAATATCTGCTTACATTACACAGTCACGACACCTAATTCATCACAGTTGATGCAGCTTTTGCTCAGAAGAGGACCTGGGACTGGGTAGCATGGGACTTGATCAAGTCTCCCCCTAAGGAGGAGCTGCTTAGTGAAGTTAAGATACAGCACACTGAGGAGAGAGCTTTAATATGTCTTTTTTTAAATAAATGATCCGTATTTCTGTATGTCAAATGAGGGGCTTAGGTGCTAAAAGATAAAAACGATACTTGGTACTGAGTGTAGCTTATAAAATGGTTTCTGTATAAATGTTAAAGAACATGCTCAGTGAAGAGCAAAGTTGAGTTTGTTACTTAATTTCTATGATGTTAAATGATGTTTGTGTATTTCCATGTACTAAGGTAAGAAAGTAAAATATTATTCTGCCTCCCTAACAGACTGTTTTCTTTTTTTTTTTTCAGGGCATTGTTATAACTCCACTTCTGCTTTTGCTTTTTGTAAGTATCATGATATTAATATCTTTTACTGGGTAATCTTGCACCTATTAGGCATTATATTTAAGATAGCAGTTTGGATGTTTTTCAAAATGCATAAATAATGAAGTTGATTTTTCTGGTCAATATTTGAAATCAGCTGCCTCCCATCAAAATGCATCCTAGTGAATGCAAACACCACCTACTCTTCATTCTAAGATGACCAAGAGCTGTTGCTCTTACAGAAGTGTAAAATTATATGCTGTTACTCAGACTGGGTAAAATACAAACACTTGCCAGGTAGGGAGATAACTCAGTTAGGAGAGCTCTTGGGGAGCTTTCACTTGCAGGAGCTGCACAGGATTGTACTGATCTGAAGAGGATGAGAACAACTGGTAAAGCACTATTCAGATAAACAGAGCCTTGCTTTGGGGCATCTGAGCCCATGGGTGTTTTTGTGGTAGAGGTTAGCAAGAGAGATTACTGGAGCCCCTGTGCATCACTAAATGTAATGCTGCTTCACTCCTGTTAGTTCAATTGTTACCCTGCAGTGAGGGCCTTGGATCCTTGCAGCTCCTGGTAGAAAGAAAGGGAGGAGAGCAAGCTTTATCTTCATGTTTTATAAAGGCATGGATATTTGCATACAATGGAGAGGTTTAACAGGTGGGTTGGGTGATGGTGTTTAGTAAATCCCTTGTCAGATAGGAAGTCTTGATGCTTGAGGATTTGCTGGCATTAATGGTGTGATGTGGTGCAAGGTGCTGGGGGCTGTGGCTGCTGTGAAGAGCAGGGAATATAGGCTGAAGCATTTCAAGGGAAACCTATATTTTCTTTTATGTTTGTCTTACTGATGGCTTTGTATGTAAGTCAGCACACTGGAAAGGGGGGAAGTGAGAAGTTGCTCTGAAACAATTTGTAAGAGACATGCAAAGGATGCACTGTTTATAGCAGGGATGCTTAAGCAGCATTTGGACTGTATACAAATATAGCAATATAAACTGGGATAAATAGTACTGTGAGTGTCTGTAACATCAACTACTGCCTCAAAATAACTGTGTGGGAAGATTTTTATTTTACTAGAACAAATTGTAATTCACTGATGTAGCTATGTTTACACACAAACTGCTTTGACTGTATTGTATATATTGATACACACCAGCAAAGCTTTCTCAATACACCTGGGACCATAGACTTACTGTAGGTTGAAAAAGATAACTTAAAAAAAAATTATAATTTAAAAAAGGGTGTTTTGTAAATCTCAGGATGGTCTGCCTCTCTGTTCTGCAGTCCTCTTCCCTCTTGTCTATAGAAAGTCTCTTCCACAGGCATTTATTCAGAGACTGTCCCCTTGTTTCTAAGGGAAACTTCAGCCCTTTTTACTTTTTACTTTTGCTCACTGGCAGTTTTCACTGTGCTTTACCTGACTGAGTTTGGTGCACTGAATAGTCAAAAGGGATCTTTCCTGCAGAAACTGAAATGTTAAGGACAGATCTGTATATTTTTTCAAACAAGATAAAGTTCTTTTCTTTGGTGTCTTTATAGTTAGATAACAAGATATTCTACCCCATGAATTGCAGTTTTCACTGTTACTTCTCAGAAGAGGTGGTAAAACTTCATGTGTGCAAGAACAGGGCAAATCATGTCTCTGTTCTTCCTACCAGCCTTGGAAACGTTTGTATTAGAAGTGCATAAAATTCATGTGAATTGTTGGGTGATTTGTAACGTGACTTGGACTTGTTCTTCTTGAGGAAGATACACACATGAATTGCTTTGTCATCAGAGTGATAAAAAAGCTAGTCTGGGGATGAGGGGAGTTACAAAAACTCTGGTTTTTTCTCGCAAAGCCCAAAACTTGAGGGCTTCTCTAGTGGTATGTAAATATTTAAAAGTTCTTGAGGTCTGTGTTGAGAGTTTCACACATGAAGAGTGCTGTTCTGGTCAGCCCAGCAGCACACTTTGCTAAGATGAGGTCTGCTTTTCTGGAGATTCAGTTCATCCAGTGATAGGTATTTAGGACAGCTGAATGTGCACAACCCGAGTTCCCATGTCCTGTGATAGTCTGTGCTTTGGACTTTTTTTCTTGTGAACCTCTCTAGTTTTCCTCTGAGTTTCCTTGATGCATCTGGCCTGGTGAACACACAGTGGATGCAAGAACACAGTCCACATGTTTCTGTATGCTTGCTTACAGCCTGCAGCTTCATCATCTCATGTGGTACTGTGGGAGTTACTGTGGAATGAGAAACACTGACTGGGAAATTCCTGGTTATCTTCTCTGAACCATTCAACAGTTTAGTCATGCAACTTAGCCTTAATGCTTAATTAATACAGGGTGGAATTTTCAAGCTTCAAAATGAAACTTCCATTTACCTCTACAATAACTGAGCTTCTGAATGCTATTCTTGGACCTTTCAAATCAATATCATCAAGGAACTTTAGTTCCTGAATCTGGTACTTGTGAGCATTAACTCTTCCACAGAGTTGTGCTATGATAGTCTGAATGCTCTTGTTGCATTTGTGTTCATATTTGTTATTCTCCCTGTGTACAGTGCATAAAATACCTTTAGTGCTAGCAGAAATAAACTACATTGTTGTCTATTAGCTTGTTTTTGTTATATAGCTTAACCTGAGGTAGCAGTTATTGTTTATATTTTGCCCTATGTGCACTGGAGAATATAATGTTCTGAGCTGTCTTTTTGTTCATAATTGCCCAGTAATGTAAATATAAATTGTCTAAACAACATTGATAAAGGCATGTTGAAGGTATAATAAATAATGCATTTAATGCAAATAATTTATCATCTTAAATGAATGGTGTTGAAGAGGAAGTCAGTTACATTTCTGAAAAGTATATTTCTGCTATGAAACTCCTGGTGTAAAGCTTACTCAAAATTAACATTCTAAGAGGCTCAGATTAATTTAATGAAGCCCTAAATACTGTGTCTGTAATTACTGGACTATATGAGGATGCTTAGCTAAACTTTGTAAAGAATATCACAGATACCTCTGATTAACATTTTGCCTAATAAGAAGTTACTGAAAATTTCTCCCCAGATATGTTAATCAGCAATATCATCATCCTATTGTTAACCCTTGTTATTAATGGTTAATATGCCATATTCCCAGCAAAGATGTTACAAATGGCCAATGTCCCATAAACTGTATATAACTGGAGTTCATAACTGGGGAGCAGAAACAAAGCAAGTTAAATCAGTTTCAAGTTAGCATGAGGTTATGCTGTTTGCTATTTCTTTGCAGCATTCTGCAGTGCTTCTTTAACAATGATTAGGAGGCTGTGTACCAAAGCTTTCAGAGAGTGAGTCTGTCCATCTCCCTGTTGTCACTTTGCACACTTTGCTGAAGCCAGAGTAACAGATCGATCATGAAAATTATTAAAGCAGAAAAATAAGTTTTATTTTCTCCAAGGTTAGGTTTCTAAGCAGCAAAAGTCTTAAGTGTGTGAATCTATGTACTTCTATTGGAAGCCATCAAAAATATTACTGATAAGTCAATATTTTGCATTTTTATGTACTTCACATTCTTCAGAAGCATGCCTGCAGAGCAGTTAATGTGGAATGTTAAAGACCCAATACAAAATTCATGTGTATTTTTAAAGATACACTTGGCAAACTCTCTGTGTGACTGTCAAGCATTACTCCCCCATTAGCTCTTTTGCCAATAAAGCTACCATGGCATTTGTACCAAAACAGAATCTTCCCAAGGCTTCATCAGCTTCCTCCTGTTCTTGATGTCTGGATTTTTATTTTTACGTTGGCATTGTGGTGGTGATGTCATAACTACTAGAAAGTAGCACTGCTGGAATAATTCAGGGGTAGACAAGTGAAGGACATTTGGTGCAAGTAGTGCAGAGGAGAGTGAAATAAATAAAGTGAGTGAAATTAGAAGCTTGTTTAAATGCTGAAGAGCTTTCACTTGTGCTCACAATCTTTAAATTAAAATATGGGTCCAAAAGTTCTTGATAGTTCTCAGACTTTTCACCAAGTCTACTCCAATCCCATTAATTCGGAAAAATCTGTTTATTGAAAGGAGCTGTCAGTACTTTTTTGTTTTTAAACAGAACTTTTACACACTATGCCTTGTTTTTCTTCTCAAGCACTTGGTAAATGAGAGTTGATACCAATCAAATGATTCGTTAAATATGCAAATATCTTAGTAGCTGGAAAGCCTTGGAAGTTGATAAGGAAGTTGCAGCTAATGGATTTCACTGGTATGTGACAAAAGGCTGATTACAATGGGGGAGGGAAGGGAGGGGGAGCAGCACAGTGCATTAGCTATTAACAGATCAACTCGCTCATGTGGAAGATATAAAGTGCATCATTATTTCTACCTGTTTATTTACCTCACTGTTTCCTTTCTTCTTTAATCACTGGGAAAACAAAATTCTCTGATCTGATCCAAACTCTTTACAATTAGCTAGAACTTTTCAATGACTGCTGTGAAATATTTACTTAATAATCATTTTATTGCTTTTTTTCACATTCACCTTTTATGGCTTTCTTATTTAAATTGGAACAAGTAACAGAGAATAATAGGGAACCTCCTTGTTCCTGACTCACACACAAAGTGCTGTCGATTTTTCTAGGTGCTTTTCTACATGTTATTGCTCTTGAGATTTTCTTCTGTATAGAACTAGGAGAGCCTTTCAAGTGCACAACCCGCTTCAACATGGGCAGAAGTTAACCACACATCTTTAACAGGATCTTAGAACCAGGCTACCAGGAGAATCCCATCCTGACTCACCCAATCCAGCTCTTTTCCATGCTGTGCACTTCACCTCAGAGCTGAGCACGATCCAACCTAAAATTAAGGATTTTTGTTCTCCCTCCACCCTTGCAGTGCTAAAAACTTGTGTCTCTGAGGAACAGAAAACTAATTTCCAGTAAGTACTGGTTAAAGATGTGTAATCCATTTGTCTTTGTTGCCAGTCTTGTGCATCTGAATAGCGCTTCTCTGAAATTTATCACCCTGACTCTTTCTCTTTGCCAGCCTTCAGTCAGCTAGGCTAA